TTATTTTTGGCCATTATTAGAAAATGGATTAAAGGATGGAAGCCCGTTTCCGCCACTGAATAAAAAAAAAAAAAAGGTTATTGCGACTTTGTATCTCACAATTTGGACTTTTTTTCACAGAATTGTGAGATATAAACTCACAGTTGCGAGTTATAAAGTCAGAATTGCGAGATATGAAGTCACAATCGCAAGATAAAAACTCACAATTCTGACTTTTTTTAAAGACTGATATGTTCTCAGAATTGCAAGTTTATATCACACAATTCTGACTTTATTTCTCAGAATTTATATCTCACAATTAAAAGAGTTTATATCTCACAATTATGACTTTTTAACTCGCAATTGCGAGTTGATATCACGCAAATATGAGAGTAAAAGTCAGAACTGTGAGATAAAAAGTCACAATTACCTTTTTTATTTTTTTATTCAGTGACGGAAACGGGCTTCCATATTTTTTTAATTAACTAGGGTAAAGTTGAAACTTTTTTTTTTTCATAGGGCCAAAAAAGCAACTGTGCAACTGTTAAAGAAACAATTATGGGCTCTGCTTTGGATAAATGTGTCATCTTGAAAATAAAATGTACGTTTAATGTCAGTGTGTAAGGCTGTGTCTGTATGTATTGATGTGCTGCAGGTCAAATTTAGAGTTGGACATCAGTTTAAGTGGGGAAGAGGTGCAGCACTACATGCAGAAGGCCATTGTGCTGTCCTGTTCTGCCGTAGACACAATAAGGAACCATAGGGCCAAAAAAGCAACTGTGCAACTGTTAAAGAAACAATTATGGGCTCTGCTTTGGATAAATATGTCATCTTGAAAATAAAATGTATGTTTAATGTCAGTGTGTAAGGCTGTGTCTGTATGTATTGATGTGCTGCAGGTCAAATTTAGAGTTGGACATCAGTTTAAGTGGGGAAGAGGTGCAGCACTACATGCAGAAGGCCATTGTGCTGTCCTGTTCTGCCGTAGACACAATAAGGAACCTCATCTTTGTGGGCAACCTGTTCAACTCCCTCAAGGTGAGGCCTGAGAACTGACGATCCTGTATAAAATTCATTCATCTGAATCTGTCTGCTAGATCAATGAAATATATTCCACATTGATGAAAAAGGATCACTCTCATAGAATGTTTAATTTTGTATTTTTATTTCTCTCTCTGTGAAAAAAACATCTCTCTTTCTGAATGTATCACATTGCTGGCACACATTCATGTTTCTAGTTTTGTGCTCTGTAATGCCTGTCAAAGATATTCTTTTCATTTCTCTTTTTTTCTGTCCGCTTCTATTTATTAAATTCTCATCTTATCTTTTTTGGTCTCTTTTCATTTTCAGTACTTGAATGTGGCATTTGTGGCTTTTGTGTTTGTTCATCATCCTCTTGAAACCCAGCAAAAAGTTTTTTTTATATATATAACATCTTGAGAAAAACTTTAGAACCACATTGTAATGAGAAACACCCTTATAATGTTTCATAGCAAGTTCTCATATTTCATAAGAATATTTTATTCAATTAATGTGCAGTGTCTCCCCAACAGAAAGAAACCAACTAATTTATTCTTGCTTTTTTGTTTCCATGAAAAAAGACTAATTATACATCAAATGATAAAGATAATTGCAAAATAATATACCTAACTGTTTCTCTTTCCATGACGTTAATAAATCCAAGGATGTTTGCATAACCACTGTGGTAATTAAAAAGGTCCTCTACAAAGGACAAAAATTATTTTCGTTATTTCAGGCCTCTCAGCTGTGCACTTAAAATAATGTCGCTCACAGCTGTCACTCTAATTACACTCAAGGCTTACCACACGAAATACTTCTGACAGTGTTTTGGGGTGTATTTTCAGGCACGTGTGGTCTATATGAGACTTGACATAGATTATCTCCCACACATTATGGCACAGAATTACAGAATATATGATACTATTCTGCATTTTGAGAGAAAAGTAAGGTTTCTAAATTCCTATTGTGTTTTTAGGCAAAATTTTATGACAGCATTTTAAAATGCCATAACAAATTTTCTACAGCAAAAATAAATAAATAAATACAATACACTAAAGTAAAATAATAATAATAATAATAAATAAATAAATAAAGATGACATAATTATTGTATTTTAGTGTGAGAAGAACTTGATGAGAAATGTTTCATATTTAGATCTCTGAGGTTCCTTTTTCACCCCTCCTATCCAATTAAACCACTACTTTTTTGTCTTTCTCTTTTTAACATTTAAATAAATACTGGCATTCACCACTTCATCTTCAACTACAGCCCATCGGCACTGGCGATACAGCAATCACGCTCCTCCTCCCTAGCTCCACTTGTCTATATCTACTTAATATGCTTCGTAAAATAGCATTTTTATCAAATTTAAAAATTAAAAAATTTCGTAAGCTATCTGTGAGTTGTCCGGAAATTATGTCTAGGAGAAACATCCGAGATATTAAAGAGATCTCTTTAGTGATTTCGTTTGTATTGTCAAAGTTTTCTGACTTTGTGAATGCATTTTTATTCTCACTATGAATAAAATCCTGATAAGTCTAGCTCTCAACATGTTTTTATGTCTTTGATTACGAAATATTCATAAATACAGTGATGATTTAGTATACTCGAGGAGCAGTTATTTAAAAGTGACCTAACTTTGTCTTTCAAACGCATCTAAATCCAGCCAAGCACTGCAAAGTCTTCAGTTGAAACTCTTAATAGTCCTCATGTTTCGGGGTGTGACAGAGTCACACTGTGACCTGTGTGGAATGTGACATGGGACACATGTGGTCTTATGTATGAGACGGGAGGATACAAGAGGGTCTTGTCCTGAGTACGGTTTCTAGTTTCAGACTTGGTGACTAGAAACTTCACACTGAGGAGATATAAGAGGAAGCGTTTTCTCTGGGCCAGACACACTGTTTTAGATAATAATCCCAGAAGATCACATCATGCTGTGGATGTTGGGTTTGACAGAATGCTGAAGTGGCTTGAGGAATCAGATTTGTGTTTTCTGTACACTGGTTTGCATACACAAACATTTAGGAATCGAGTAATGAAAAGTTTGTTTGTTATTCCCAGTTCTTGTTGCTGATGTATCTGGTCACGTTCCTGGGAAACCTCTGCAATGGCCTTACCTTGCTCATCATCGGTATGATGTCCGACAACTTTTTTTTTTCTTTTAGTTATGCTTTGTAACTTGCATTCGGTGGTTAATCTATAACTTGCAAATCTACACATATACAAAGGCCTCAGATATATGTTGGCCATTTTTTTCCAATTACACTACATTTACTATGAAGGATTGACATGCTTTATGATCAGTTAATGCCAAACGCTTTTTTTTAACTAGTCCTTCTTGTCATCATGTGCTCTTCAGGTGTGATTGCTGTCTTCTCTGTCCCTCTGTTTTACACAAGGCACCAGGTAACGCAGTCTCTGTGGGCTTTAATGACAGTGACATTTCATATCATCCATATTCCCTATGTATTTCTCTGTGTATTTTAGTCAGACATATTTCATATTCAAATAAGCCTAAGTACTGGATATAATAAGAAACACAGTTTACATATGCTAAGACCCACATGTTGTTGGTGACATCAGACATGTGATTAACTAGGGATTCATTTGTATCTGGATCATTTGCAATTCTACCACCTCATACTTTTATTATTATGTTATTTTGAAATCAACCTGGTCTCATAAAAATACTGTAGCCTACCGCTGGGTACTTTTCTGCAACACCGTTTTTACGTAGGCCTACCTTACTGCACGTTTCGCCGCAGTTTCAAAGAGAAATGTCCACTGAGTGGCGCTAAAACATGGGTTCAGTACGTGACCCTGGCACGTTTTTATTACGTTGACATAGGCTAGGTACCAATTATTGCTCTGTTTTTATTACGTTGCTTCAGGTACGTATTGCGGCGGTTCAGAATTCAAATATCCGGGGACTGTCCCTAAAAGTTAATGCTCTATCGTGTTGGAAACCAACCCTAAACCTACTAAGCCTAAACCTAATAAGCTCCTCGCCTCTCAAGTAGGCTACGTCTCCGTACTCCATGAGCAACCGAACAAACCTACCATCTGTGAAAACCCATAGATATATGAAGCTGGATATGTGCGATGATAACATTCAAATGCATCAGTTTTCAAATCTCCCAGCATATTAAATTTGTTTTGAAGTCATAATATTCTTCAAGTAATTGTGCGAAAATTACACTTTATTAATCGAAACGCTGTCAATTTGTGTGAAAAGGAATAAAAGGTGTCAGAGTTTTACTGCCTCTAGTGTTCATTCCTTTTGGAAACTGTGAAATGTAGCGTACTTATTGGTACGTATTTAGTGTCTCGCGAAAAAGTGCCCCAGGTACGTTTTTGCCATGAGACCAGGTAGTTTGAATCTCTGTTTCTTGAAAAACATATTGTATAATGCTTATAATAATAATAATGCAGTACCATACAAGTAGTTGTTTTTCACAGATTACTGTATCTTCCCATATCTTCATATATCATATTTAATTTGATATATGATAAATTTAATTTGATAAATGTGTTGGGGAAGTTGTGGCCTAATGGTTAGAGAGTCGGACTCATAACAGATTACCTAGCCTAATGGTTACCTGGCCTAATGGTTAGAGAGTCGGACTCATAACCCAAAGGTTGTGGGTTCGAGTCTCGTACCGGCAGGGGGGGTAGGAGGGAATGTACAGTGCTCTCTCCCACCTTCAATACCACGACTGAGGTGCCCTTGAGCAAGGCACCGAACCCCCAACTGCTCCCCGGGTGCCGCAGCATAAATGGCTGCCCACTGCTCCGGGTGTGTGTTCACGGTGTGTGTGTGTTCACTGCTGTGTGTGTGTGTGTTCACTGCTGTGTGTGTGCACTTTGGATGGGTAAATGCAGAGCACTAATTCTGAGTATGGGTCACTCGGACATTGCCTTTGTCACTTCACTTTAATCTGTACTTTCTGATATTCAAATCGGCTCTGTGTGATTAATTAAAATCTGTTTTGGCATTGCTGATGCTAAATCTGGTGTATCATATCTTCTCACAGCATAACTGAAAATGCTTTTTAATTTAATTTGTCATTTTAATTTTAGTTTTTAATTGACAGAAGAGAAAGTCTTGCTGATTAATTGTATAAATTTGTCATTGTTATTTTTATAATTAATTGTCCAACAATCCAATGATTACTTTATAAATAAAGGAATGATGGTTTATGTGCAGTGGTATGGAATAATATTAGATTTCTAAAGACACTATTTATAATTTTTTATTAATATAGTGGATTTACTCAGCAAATAATTTGTTTAATCAATAAAGCAAAAAAAGAAAAAAAGCAAGTAGCACAACGAATTAAACATGAAATTCTGAAGTATAAAGAAACATACTAAAAATAATATTAACTTCGAAAATAAATTTTAATACAAATCTGGTGTATCATATCTGAAAATGCTTTTTAATTTAATTTGTCATTTTAATTTTAGTTTTTAATTGACAGAAGAGAAAGTCTTGCTGATTAATTGTATAAATTTGTCATTGTTATTTTTATAATTAATTGTCCAACAATCCAATGATTACTTTATAAATAAAGGAATGATGGTTTATGTGCAGTGGTATGGAATAATATTAGATTTCTAAAGACACTATTTATAATTTTTTATTAATATAGTGGATTTACTCAGCAAATAATTTGTTTAATCAATAAAGCAAAAAAAGAAAAAAAGCAAGTAGCACAACGAATTAAACATGAAATTCTGAAGTATAAAGAAACATACTAAAAATAATATTAACTTCGAAAATAAATTTTAATACTAAGGTTAACACATCTATTGCTGCTCATGTCGCTCTCTTCTTTTACAGGACAAAGTGGACAGCTGCTTTATAGCAGTGCAAGCCCACATTGACAACATAAAGGACTTGTGAGTATAGCGCCATCTACTGCAAGAAGTGATCTTCCTATCATATCAGTGCTTCAAGTCAAGATGACTCGTGATGTTTTTGATCATAAAGGTTTATCTGACAGTTCTGATAATAAACATGTAATTGTTTTTTTGTCTGTTGAACAGCCTTCATCGGCTGACCCAGGGTGGCGGACCACCCCCGGACCCCACTCCAGGTGGAGCTAAACCCAAAGTCCATTGAGACACACCTCACAGAGGAGGAGGAGCTACAAGCTGTCACTCAAAAATGTCTTAATTAGCAGTTTGTGCTCAGAGTCCCGCCTCTGCAGCAGTGGGGGAGGGGCTAATGACACAGGGCCTTATATAGGAGGAGATACGGATTTAAGGGAGGACCATGCAAAGAACAATCTTGGATGAAAATCAAAGGCTTTGGAATTCTGAGAAGTTAAAGACACGTTTTAATTTCCACATTTCAGTATCAGTATGAGTGTATGAATGAAACACAGACCACTAGGATACTTGAACCACCTGTACAATAACAGCCCCTTGAGAGTTATCTGAATAAACATGGATGACTTCAGTGAAGGAAAAGCAGTGACGGCTTTCTGAATCCAGACTGACTGCAGTTCACCTGCCAGGAAAATAATGCAGGACCAGTTTCCAAATGGGGTTTTTACTTATGACAGTCTCGAAATATCTCGTTGTGTCTGTGTGTGTGTATGCGTGGCCAGCTTAAGCCTGTTAAAGTACCTAAGAGCTATTAAAACCACAATGTTATTTTCTTTTCCAATGTTTTGTTTCCTTGGTATTATTTCAATGTACGTTTGATTTCCAATCAAAGCAAATCACTCTCGCCACCCTACAGTATACCAAAACTTGACCGCACCACATACTTGACAGCTGACCTTTGTACAAAAACACGTCAGAAGAATCACCACGTGGCTTATCACTGAGGTCAGGTGAACTTTTGACCTCATGTGGCAGAATGAATCAGTCAAATGTCTTTTGAATCATAACATCCCTACTATTTCAAAAGTAGGGGGCTATAATGGCTTAAATTAACAGTAGTTCTTTTGGCACACAAAAATACTGTATGACTTCAGAAGACATGGAATATATGGATGAGATGTATGGACCACTTTTATGGTGCTCCAGAGAGAACAGTACAGATGGTTAAGTAGGTGATATGCTTCCATATAAGCCATATTTTAGGGACCAGAACCCTTGTGAAAAGTAGTACACTCTAACATACTTTAAAAAGAGTACTTATTACAAAAAAAAAAGATACTTCAAGTATGCTGTAAAGTTTATTGCCAAATACTGACAAATATTTAGCTATGGTAAGCTCAAATATACTTGAATGTGGTTTCTATTCAAACTTGTGTGTCATTCTTTAAAAATAGGTTTGTAATTACACATTTATCAAATAACGCTACTGTTAAAGTTATAATCAAACGTTTACATGTGCTTTAATATGTTAGTCAATAACTTTTGACCTCATGTGGCAGAATGAATCAGTCAAATGTCTTTTGAATCACAACATCCCTACTAGATGGCATTTCAAAAGTAGGGGGCTATAATGGCTTAAATTAACAGTAGTTCTTTTGGCACACAAAAATATTGTATGACTTCAGAAGACATGGAATATATGGATGAGATGTATGGACCACTTTTATGGTGCTCCAGAGAGAACAGTACAGATGGTTAAGTAGGTGATATGCTGCCATATAAGCCATATTTTAGGGACCAGAACCCTTGTGAAAAGTAGTACACTCTAACATACTTTAAAAAGAGTACTTATTACAAAAAAAAAAGATACTTCAAGTATGCTGTAAAGTTTATTGCCAAATACTGACAAATATTTAGCTATGGTAAGCTCAAATATACTTGAATGTGGTTTCTATTCAAACTTGTGTGTCATTCTTTAAAAATAGGTTTGTAATTACACATTTATCAAATAACGCTACTGTTAAAGTTATAATCAAACGTTTACATGTGCTTTAATATGTTAGTCAATATGTCAAAATACGTGTACTTCTGTAAAGCACGACAAAAGATTATTAAAACATAAGATTTCAAATGTACTAGTAAAACCTTACATTTGACATTATTACAAACGGCACTTTTTAAAAAGGTTTCCATGGCCATTAAGCAAAGGAGGGTCAGCAAGACTATAATTCCCTTCCTCCGTCTGCACTCTTCCTAATAACACCAGGAAGGCTTTAAGCCTTAAAAAGTTTAGTCACAGGCCTGAGTGGATGCTGATAATAACACTTTAATTTCTATTCAAACTTGTGTGTCATTCTTTAAAAATAGGTTTGTAATTACACATTTGTAAAATATATTAACCTTACATGTAATATCAAATAACGCTACTGTTAAAGTTATAATCAAACGTTTACATGTGCTTTAATATGTTAGTCAATATGTCAAAATACGTGTACTTCTGTAAAGCACGACAAAAGATTATTAAAACATAAGATTTCAAATGTACTAGTAAAACCTTACATTTGACATTATTACAAACGGCACTTTTTAAAAAGGTTTCCATGGCCATTAAGCAAAGGAGGGTCAGCAAGACTATAATTCCCTTCCTCCGTCTGCACTCTTCCTAATAACACCAGGAAGGCTTTAAGCCTTAAAAAGTTTAGTCACAGGCCTGAGTGGATGCTGATAATAACACTTTAACACATACTGTATGTTGTAATTTCACTTCAATTTTTCAAACTTTTTTGATGTATTTATTTTTTAAAAAACACCATAGACATTTCATTGAACTGATACCAACATTGTGTTTGCTGCAGGAAAACATGCTTTCATAATTATAATGTCCTCATCAGACATTAAGAGACAAATACATAATTTCAGAAACATATAATTAGTTTAGCATTTATTTACACAGACGTTATCTTTCTTTCTCATACAATTTAATGACAAACTAAGTTCTTTGAATTAATGTAGATCTGGTCCCATACAGTCAGTTTAATTCAAATTCAACGCATAGCCTATATACAGACACTGTTTCCCTTCATCACTTAACCTGAACAAGTCAGAATGAGATTAGAATATTGCAATCACTTATGCTTATGGAGTTTGTTCGGATGAGGTCACAGCTGACTGCTGTACTTTGGCCAGAAATGTGCTGTCTTTAAGTGCAACTTTCCTATGACCCTTGCCTTTCAGATCTGACCATAAAATCATTTTCAGAGTTTATCACCTGATTTTATGATTTAAAGTGATGAGACCAATCACAGTAGATATGAAGCCATAACTGGACAAATAATCAGTTTCCCTGAAACATTCTACATTAGCCATCATCTTACATATATACTAACATAAAACTATAGACTCATACTAAAAGTGAAACGTACTTAATCATACTGTGTGTCAGTTACTCGGCATCTCTTCGTTTCATAATATGTATACATGTTGTAGATTAATTTCTCAAAATAAATATGAAATAGCTCAGTTGTAAATATTGATCACTAGGTGGCAGAAAAGCTCAATTTAATTCCTAGTCGCCAAAAGGAGAAGGTGAAAGGCATCAATCAGATGTAAATAACGGCACATTATTCAATTCTGATGCTAAAGTTTAATACAAATCATCATTATGGTGTGCTGTAAATATGAATTATACAGTTTTCCTAAAGGCATTGTTATATTTTATAAATGCAACGTTTTAGTGATTTTTATAGTCGACCTTTTTATGCTTTTTGGTCACATTTAACAATCATAAATATAAATGTGCGAGGCCCTAAGTTGCACACTTTCCTCTTAGATTAATGTTAAAAATATTCTTTGATGAATCTATGTTTGCAAACCCCTTAAAGTAGAACAGGTGTTCTCTGACGTGAAGAGGACCTGACGATCTCAAAATAAGTTTTGTGAAAATAAAAAGATGCATTAAACAAAAATATACATTACCTTCCACCACACTTAAAAAGCTACAAAGCTGCCTTTCCGTTATGAATGTTTATGCTTGCAATAAATAAGACATAGGCTTAAAATGTAGGACATTATAGCAAAATGAAGGATATGCCATATAAAACAGTGTTAGAATTGGAGAGGTTCTCTGAAGATACAGAAACAATAGCCTTTTAGATCTATTAACGCACACACTTGCCGTTGTTTCTAGTGGGACACGCTTCATTAATATGCAAAGAGGGAGGAGCTAGTCAAATGAAGGCTGACTATAAAAGCTGCCTCTCTCACTCGTCACCCAGCTGTTGTAGAGTCTGCAAGGCTGTAGTTTTCTGTGGCGCTACTGAATATTTGGAACTTATGAAATTGACGCTTTACGCGCACTGCACCGGATCAAGCGCATTTACGCAGTGCTCATAGTGCACAGTTGTTTTGAGAGGGCTCTTATTGATGGTTTTTTCCTGGGTCACTCCATTAGGAGTGTGCGGTCCACCTGTCGAGCAGCGCGTCATGGATTACAGTAACCTGATGGCGCCTCCGGTGCCGCCACACAAACCCAGATCCCCCCGGCCTGCGCACTGCCAGGGGCGCCTGTTGAAGTGCGTGTTTCTCGGGGACGGAGCCGTGGGAAAAACCAGCCTGATTGTCAGCTACACGACCAACGGTTATCCAACAAAATACGTCCCGACAGCGTTTGACGATTTCTCAGGTGAGTCTTTGGATACGTAATTGTGCGTTGTAGCGCATCAGTTGCAAACAAATGCACGAGCTTTTCATAGAAATAGCTTTTTGCTTTTTGCTTAAGTACTTTTCAATGGATTTATGAAGTTGTTATATTATTGTTGTTATTATGTAACTAGTATGTGTGTGTGTATGTGTATATATATATCTATCTATATATGTGTATATATATATCTATCTATATATGTGTATATATATATCTATCTATATATGTGTATATATATATCTATCTATATATGTGTATATATATATCTATCTATATATGTGTATATATATATCTATCTATATATGTGTATATATATATCTATCTATATATGTGTATATATATATCTATCTATATATGTGCCTTGTTTGAATGTGTGAGCAGATATTGTTTGCTGGAGCCTGTGATGAGGTCACTCTCACTCTCCTGGAACCAGATCAGAAATCTCTGCACTGATTTGAAAGCAGTTACGCAATTCAACAGGTGGCACTTTGAGGGGGAAGAGCTAGGGCTGAATTAAAGGCAGATCATATGACGGAGATTTGGAGACAATTCCACAATAGGCGCTTGACGAGCAGAACACTTTGATGTGACAAACCTTCAGCAGGGCCTCAGTGTTACTGTGTTTCATGAGATCACTTTACTGTGGCATGTTGGAAAAAACATTTTCATAGGATTTAACAGCATGTACAGTCCTTCAAAACATGCAAAGTGTGAGATGCTGAGCTGTTTATGAGCTGCAGGGACCCAAATTATATCTGGGCTGTTGATCTATAATATGTACATGAGGGTGTATAAAATATAATAATAATAATAAAGAATAGGAATTATTGGTATTATTATTATAGAATAAGGATATTGAGAATAATTTTTATAATATTATTATTATTATTAAAGAGCATGTTATATTAAGATTATTACATTACAGACTGTTATTAGAAAATAATAATAATAATGTTTATTTATATAATAGTTATATTATTATTATTATTAGAGACCTTGTTGGGAGTATTTTGCACTCCAATATGAAAAAATACACATTGAACCTGAAAATCTAAATAATAAGCAACATAACTTTTATTGTTTATTATTATTATTAAGTCTTATATTAAGATTTTATTACAAAAATATATTTAAAAATAAGA